GTCGAGGAAGATGGAGGTCAAGGGATAATAGTCGGGTTGACTTAAGGTATAGGGGATCGTGGCATGGGGCGGGTTGAAGAGTGGGTCGAGGGGACTATAGTCAGCAGGAACGATGATGGTCGAGGACGGGAGACTAATCAATGGTGATGGATGGTCAGAGGGCACTGTGGATCATCGGACGACTGGTGGTCGGAAGTGGACTAATAGTCGCCCGGGGGGGGGGGGGGGGATTGGGGGATTGAGGTCGGAGGGATCATGGTGGCGAGTAACATTAGTCGGGGTGAACCGTAGTAAGTGAGTGACGGTGGTCAGAGGGAATGTAGTCGCGCGACGGTGGGCGGAGGGACCTAGTCGTAGGCAACAAAGGGAACATAGATCGACGGAGGGGCGTTGGGAACTATAATCGACGGTTCGGAGGGTGGAGGGATTATATGTCCGGTGGGTTGATAGAGGGCAATAGATACCATAACTCGGTGGGCGATGGAGGGGCATAGGGACCGTAGTTGGCGGGATACAGAGGTTGAAGGGACCATGGTCCGCATGCGACTCGTGGTCTCGAGTGGACCGTAGTTGGTGGGCTGCTAAGGGTTAGAGGTTACCGTGGTTGGTAGGAAACGGTGGTTCCAGTGGGACCATAAGTTGGTGGGCCGTAGTTGGGCAAAGCGATAGTAGTTGGATGGATGGTAAGTCTGGGGGGGGGGGGGGGGGGGTGAAGAGTGGTTGAAGGGATCGTAGTTTGACAGGAAGACCGTGTTCAAGGGGCCACGGTGGTCGAAAGTCCATGTCGATGGCAGTTGATCAAGCAGGTCTGGTGGCGGTCCTGTGGCTTGACTATGTCGAGCGGAAGTCGACGGTGATCGGCGGCTGGTTATGGTCCAGAACAATGGCCGACGACCGAACGATTTTTTGATACAGTCAGTAGTTCGACGACAATCGATATACGGCGTGGTCCGGAGGTGGTCGACTGAAGTTCGTCGGCGATGGTGCTGGTTGAGCTCCAGATCCTTGAAGCCAGAGCTCTCTCTCATCTCCAGCCAAGAGGTCCCAACCTTGCAAATGTCCAAGCCCCCTCTTCATGTGAGAAGTGAGGGTTTATTTATATATTTTTGTGATGACATGCTCAGCAAACATATGAAGAAGATAGGAGCAAATTCAGAGTAATCCATCGAATGCACATATTTGATTCCCTCAATTATAGAGTTTTTCATCAAGCATAGGTCCCACATGATGTTTAGAAATTAAGCAATCTTGGGCTTGTTGGATTGTCTGTCGAGCCACTCGATTCAACTATTAAGCATGGCTATTTTGCATATCATTTGGTCATCTATTTTATCTTGAACATTCAAATATACCTGGGGCCCCAAATTGGACTCTTTGGCTCATAGTGACCATTTGAATTCGTTGGATTTCTTTTTCTAACAAGGCGTACAATTGACTATAGGTTTGGTTAAAGTGTTGTTCAGATGGTCCTAAATTTAATTTCAAAAATTTTTAACTTGAATATACCTAGAGATTCAATGCGCATGAAGATAATTTTTTCGACGTATCAACATTAAATATATATTAAAAGTGAAGCCCAATCTTCACTTCCCCGACTATGATCCCTTCGACCACCAACTACAGTCCCTCTGACCACTGTCACCCATCGGCTATGGTCCCTCCGCCACTGTCACCCGCTGACTATGATCCAACCGACCAAACAAGAAGGCCAACACTCTCCTGGGAATAACTCTCTTATCACTAGATTCTTCCAACTCCAACTATGTATTGAACTTTATATGATGAATATTTGTTACAAATAAGCCAATGATTTCTCTCGATGAAGGGCATCACATATAATCAACTGTAAATATTAGTAGATTTTCCAACTGGGCAAGCCCTCGTGGTTTTTTCCTTTTCAGGAGTTTCACATAAAAATCTTGATGTTTCTTATAACTCTCGCACTTCTCTCTCTCTCTCTCTCTCTCTCTCTCTCTCTCTCTCTGTTTGTGTGAGAGGGTAAGTCTGCGACTGAGTGGAGATCGCAGAAATGGGAAGCAGCGACGGGGAGAGTTTGGTCGTGCATGGATTGCGAATGGAGGGAGCCCTGGAGGTGTCCGCTCAGTTAGCTTTTAAAGACGTTGGAGAAAAGTGATCGAGAGCGGGATTTGAGCAGGATTCGTGGGAGGCGACGTGAGCGGCGTCGAGTGCACAGTAACTTGGCAGGATTTCTTGTGGGATTTAGGGGATCTTCTTGACATATACGAGGTGAGCTGCTTTTTTCTTTAAATTCATAAAATTTTTATTTTAAATAATATGATATATTTAATAAATAAATATAAATTATATTAGAAATCAAATTGTATAACAAATTTAATATATAATCTCAACTAGGAAATTATCTTCAATATAAATTTTTTTTGGGAAGGGTGACAGTTTAAGCTTGATATAATTAATGGAAGGAGATGAAACATTACAACTTAATGCCATAGTACCTCAAACCACATAAAAGAGGGGAAAAGATTAGAGTGACGGCCAAAATAGGAGGCCAAAAAGACCAAAGAAAGAAAGGTAGCCAAACAAAATACAATTTAGTGATATAGCTCTTAAAAATCAAATAAAACTTGTAGAAGTGAGGTATATAAAAAGTAAGCAATTTGAGAATTGGGATGGGCAAACACCCCAAAATTGTAGTAGGGGAGAGGCTTCCATCTATAGTTAGGTGATCAAGAAGAACATCCATATGTATAGTTTCATAATTGGATTGCACCAATATCGTGTTGAGCAACCTACTTTATCATCCAGAGCACAGCATTGAA